ACGATGATTGTTGATGATTTGATAGAGAAACGTACCTAGGAAATATTGTCTTCGAATGGAGGGGAAGAGCCACTTTAACTGAGTGTAATGGTGAGACACTATGAAGTATCTTGGGGCTCCAATTACAAATCTTAGGCAGCTGTTCATAAGTCTTTTCAGTCTATCATGGAGCTCCACCAAATATACTTTTCTATTTAATCCTTCCAATTTTTCATTCTGGCATAGTTACGTTTCCCTTATTTGAAAAATTACAATAATATCTCTATAGTAGTAGGCTTCTATAATATACCTGAATAGGTAACTGCAAGTCTGTTGCGAGACTCTTCCGCAAGACCAAGACTGAGTGTGCAAGACCAAGACTCATCTTGGTCTCGTATTTGGGCAACACTAGTTCTTTATGGTATGCTAAAAATTATTTCTTCCTACTGATATATTTACTTTATTTTTTTTATATAATCTGCTACATATTCAACGTTTAATTTTGTTTTTCAATATTTAAAATTTAAAAGGATCTCGACTGAAGGATGGATATGATCACAGTCAGAGTCCTTAAAAGCTCTTATATGATCTACTGCACATGGTTGAGGCTGCTCCCCCGTTCATAATTATTAACCACTAGGTCGTTACTTTTTCTCTTTAGTCTTCTCTCTCTAAATAAATAACAAAATATTAACCTTTCCATTGACTTACTTTCCCTTACCATCGATTATTGGACTTGAAAATATATATTCACTATTACTAATTAGTTTTTACAATCCCTTTTATTTTTATTTCATGTTACGTAGGGTATATGTAAATAAATATTTTTGTTTACATAGGTTACTTTTAATCATGTTTTATAAATTTGTCGGACGAACTGTTATGATGGTAATTACACCATTCATGATAGTGTATTGATCTAGATATTTCATCGTTAATAATATATTTTATTTAATACATTATTTTAGTTTACGCTGACGCAGCTTTTGTTAATGTGCTGCATGTCATAGCATTTTATTCCAATAACGTTCATGCTCTTCTTGTTTTTTTTTTATGTGTTTTTAAGTCTTGGATTCCAATATCCAAGATTTAATATTGAATAGGTTAAGGTAGCACCTAACAGTAACATAGGTATGGATTTATATTCATGTATGAAAATTTAAATTATATTTTCTGTATGAACTACCATATAAATAAATGAAAATAAAAATAATGGTAATTTATTTTGTATTTTTAAAATACAAATTAACATATTTTTTTAATTTCAGAATCTTGGAAATAAAATACAATACTTTTTTGTATTTTGTATTTTAAAAAGAAATTAAGTTACAAACAATCTATTTCATATTTTATTTCTTAAAATACAAAATGAAAACAATTTACTTTATTTTCTATTTTAAAATATTTTATTTGAAATACTGCCCAAGTCTGGTATAGAGTAATTTACCAAAAAAAAATGAAAAATATGTAAGAAACTGGATAATACATTGTGATGTTTTTCAAATGCTATTTAATATGCTTATATTAAAAAAAAAAAACATGATAATAATTGCGCTTGTAGGAATATGCAATCTAGAACTGATAAACGTTTTTTCACCAATGGTTATAAAATGTGTCAAGTGTGGTCAACATCCTTACTCAGCTCCAGTTTGATTTATCTTCCAACCAAAGGGCAAAGCTACCCACTTAATTTCTTTGTGTAACCCAGGAAGGTCTCTTGTTCCCAATAGTCGAGGATCTGGATGCATAGGATCCATCTTATAAAACACCTGAAAATAATTTTATAAATTATTTCCAACCCACTAAGCATTTCTGGCGACCCTAAAACTTAATAAGCAGCTAATAAATTTGAAGTAATGAATTACGTCACCATGACGAGCATATCGAACATGCGATTAGTTTTTTTATTCTTGTATCTCAAACCAAATGAGAATACATTTCTTTCTTATATAAAAACTACTTACTAATGACTTCCAGATGAGAAAATGTAATAATACTGAAGCTAAGCTCTAAATTGTAGATCAAGTGAACCGTGCTTCCAACCGAAAAACTTATTCTAAAAGGAATGAAATAGCATTAAATAGTTCGTTGAATGAATGCCTAAACTTAGTAATTTGGTAAGTTATGGCCAAAAATCACGATTGGCGAACGACGAATTTAACCGAATTTTCGAAAACCCGAGACATATTATTATAGTTGACTCTGCAGGTTGTCAACTCGTACTCAAAGAGAAATAAAAATAAAAGAATAAAAGTTGTAGAGCATCAAATTGGAAGTAATTGAGCACACTCACACAAACTGAACAATGGCCTATTTTTTTTTTTACCAGGCTAATCTTAACGTGATAGATTCATGATGAAATATTGAATATTTTTTCAAATCATAAAAGTTTACAGATTATCTTTAAAACATTAACGACATAATGAGATCGTTACATAATGTTGTTTTTATTAAAATATGACATTCGTGATAAATGACTAAGAACTATTTATAGAATGAGATTTTTTTTTTTTTACGAATGTATTATTATCGATTTGACATTAATTATAACTCGATAGAAACATCTCAAAATCTCTTGGAAACTTTTGTCATGAATATTCATTGTTCTTCCCTTTTTGTACTGTGTAGTTTACCGGTCGGATTAACTTAAAAACATTGCCAAATTTTCTAAATACCTCGAAGTTTCTTTTCTTTTTTTTTTTTACTTGCTACTCTTTTATTTAAAACATTTCTCTTCTAAATCAGCATGGCCTATTTTCTTCTATTGTATTTTCTGCTGGTTTCACTCCCAAATTGCTTCTTATCGTTGTGTTTCTGATTTTGTCCTTTCTTGTTATTTCCCTATTCTACTCAGAAACATGTCGCATGTCCATTGCTTGAATTTGGCTTTTGTCCTTTGAGGAAACAGTCCAGGATTCGCTATTGTAGGTCAGCATGGGGACAAACGTATTTTTATACACAGTATTCTTCCTTTCGTCACTTCCTTTTTTTCCCAAGAAGCCTGTTTTTATGAATGAAAGCATTTCCAGTCTTATTCTTTCCTTAATTTCGTCATTCTCATTTAGACGGGCACCCAGATTCCTGTAGTTTCTGACGTGCTCCAGTTATTCTGCTGCGATCGAAATATTTCCTATTCCCTCCCTTCCTCTCCTCGCTTGCTATTCTTATTATTATTTTTTGAGTTTAGCAGTTGTGGTTATTCCTGCAGGACTTGGAGACTATATTGGAAGTTTCTTCCAATGTTCCAGAGTCCTACCATCTCTTCGGTGTATGCCAAGAAGTTGAAATGAACTGGTATTAGGTCTATGTGGTCCAACCTATAAGGTATCATTCTCTCCTTAGCTCTCTTTAGTGCCATGTTGAGCACAATTATAAAGAATTTTTTTTCAACTGTTTATTCAAGATATTTACAACTGTATTACAACATAAATACATCAAGTAAATGTGTATACAAGAATATAATCACTTGAAAACGCTTGTTGAGAAACTACCCACAGGTGGCACTCTAATAATATGTCTACATAAGGAGATCACGAGGCCATCTTCTTTTGAGACGCCTCGGGGGGTTATCAGGAATTGAAGAGGAAGCAAGGTTAGAAACGAGAGGATTCGGATGGTTGTGAAGTTTATTATGGAAGGATAGGTATCTGGATTGGGCCAAATCGGAAAAATATGGAACATTAAGGTCATTATGGATTATTTTATTTGTGGCAAAGTAAGGAGCATTGAGGATTTTACGAAGGATTTTTGATTGTAAGGATTGGATACGAGAGGAATTTGATGGTTTAGTGGAGCCCCATAGCTCAAATCCGTAAGTCCAAATAGTTCTTATTATAGCCATGTATATTTGTCTTTTGTAATTAATAGAAAGTTTAGAGCGTTTGCCTAGTAAGTGTTGGAGTAAGCGGAAACGGCGAGCAGTTTCTTGTCGTTTCAGTCTTGTATGAGGTTTGTGAGGTCTAAGTGAGAGGTATGTCCAGGTGGAGTCCAAGATATCGTATTTGTTCAAAAGGGATAAGTGGGGTGATATTAAAGGATACTGTATTATAAATAATAAAGTGCTAAGAATACAGCCCTGTCTTATTCCTTTGTTGCTCTAAAACTCCCTATATATTTGGTTTTTGATTATATATAACATATTTACTATCAGAGATAAGATTATTATAATATTAAAAAACATTTACATAAAAATATCTCAATTTTTTTTAGTATGATTATTTATATAATAATAAATAGTTTTCTTATCATCTTATTAAGTTAAGGACTTGATCAAATTTAAAAGAATAATCAGCCTTGTAAAGTTTATTATAAAACTTTTGACAATCTTTAGAAACATTAAATTCAGAACTATGCTCCCACTACCAATTTTACAAGAAATATTTGTACGTTTAAATTTTTTTTATTCATGCTATTTACAACTGAATTAAAAAATACAAATAAATCCAGTAAACGTGAGCAAATAAATATGATCACATAAAAGAAACTTGTTGAGAAACTACTCTCTGGTAGCACTCTAATAATATCTCTACATTAGATCACGGGACCATCTTCTTTTTAGACGCCTCGAGAGGTTATCAATCATCGAAAAGGAAGCAAGATTAGAAACGAGAGGGTTCAAATAGTTCTGGATTTTATTATGAAATGTTATGTTTCTGGATTGGGCCAAATCGAGAACATAAGGAACATTAAGGTTGTTATGGATGATAAGTTCAAATTTAAAAGGTAAAACTGCATAAATATATCGAGTTGGTTTAATAAAATATTTAACTTTCTTTATTTTAATATTTTTTTCATTATGTCATTTAATTTTGTTTAATATAAAGGGTGGAACATAGGTGTTGGTTCAGAATATCAAAAAAATATCGACACATTTAATTGAAAGAATTTTGAATGAACAACACAAAATTTTATCAATAATTAAGTAAATCTGACAAAAGCTATTTCGTAACAAAAATAAAATGTATGGGGAATATGTTTTACAGGTTATCTCTGTTGGTAATACTACACGCAGTACACTAAACATGAAACCCATCATGGAAGACGACGGAAAAGAGCTTACGTGTCGGGCAGTCAATCCCAAATACCCTTCAGAATATATAGAGGCAAGGCGAACCATCAGTGTTGCTTGTGAGTTTACAAGTAATTTTTTAACATTTATAAAATACCAATATAGAAGTAATGAGTGAAAATCTAAACATTTATATATGAATTATGATATTATTTAGGATTTTTTAAAAATATTTCATCTGCTACAGATCCTGCAACAGCTGAAGTAGAAGTTCTATCTGGACCAATGGGAGGAAATCATATCAGGGAAGGTGAAACTATAAAACTAGGTTGTAAAATTAAGTCGAATCCACCTCCGGACAAGATCCTCTGGTATCATGAGGTATTCTAAACCTGTGTATATTTTTGAATCCTGTACATATATATTAAGCTTAATAACTAATTAAGGATACGAAAAAAATTGTATTATGAAATAGAATTAATAGCCTTCCAATAATATGTTTGCAACTTTATTCTTCACGAATATGCCTTTAAGACATATTTGTCTGAAATTAAGTAATCGTATAAGATATTTAAAACCAAAAAAAAAATAAATAATTTGGCCTTAATCCTTTAACATGACTTATTTTTAGATATAATATGTCAGTTGAAACAAAATTATTAACACATAGAACAAAATGACAACGGCGGTGAAAACTAAACAATTAATTCTCGCACATCTAGAGAAATCATGTCTTTCTAAAATAAAATAATAATTCCAACTACCACAGCAGATCTCTCTATTTTTATTGGATGACTCCCTACCCACCATTTCTGGCAAGGGGGGGGGGTGTTCAAGAGGTACAACCTATTTTAACCAGAGTAGGAGGGTCGAGTTTCATTTCGTGGAGCCGCTAGCTACGAGGATGCTAGAATGGGCAACGCTCCAACACACTCAGCCATCACGACCTGTACCTCCACCGTACATCTATCAGTTCCAATTCCCTCAAGTTAATTGAAGTGCTCTTTCGTGGACAACTGTGACACAGAAACTGCTCAGTAGCGACATCGCTCCTATGATGCGATTCGAATTCCTACGACATCTGCTACTACACGATATCCGATCGAGTAAAAGTAAATTCGAGAGATAGAATCGGCAAGTAAAGGTCGTGATGGCCGAGGGTTTATCCAATAAAAAAATCCGGGAAAAGGAGAAAAATGCCGGAACGAGGAGGTTGAGGACTTGGAGAATACCTATACCGAGGACCCATTCAGAGATAAGCCGAAAACCGAAGAGTCTATTAGAATCCTTTCGACCATCCTGCGAGATCGAGGAAGACTTACCACTCAAGAGGGAATGAGCTGAGTTTCAGGTGATGGTCTGCCAGGTCCTTCAGAGAGCGAATCGTTCTGTCTACAGAGAGGAATCTTCAGCCGTCGAGAGAATCAAGAATCTCTTCGCAGGCCCTCAACACAGTACCCCAGTCTCTGTGATAAAGGTTACCTGCAGGCTTCTAGCTTCCTATATTGGCCATAGAAAGTGTTGTCTTCCAATTGGTGTGCATTGGCAACGAGCTCCCAAGTGATGCATAGAAACTTTTTTTTTTTTTCTTAAAGACATTTACAGCTGTATTAAATAAATACATCTAGGAAATTTGAACATAATGTATATAATGACATGAAAACACTTGCTGAGTAACTACCCAATGGTAGCACTCTAATGATATGTCTACATTAGGAGATCACGGGGCCATCTTCTTTTCAGACGCCTCGGAGGGTTATCAGGAATTGAAGAGGAAGCAAGGTTAGAAACGAGAGGGTTGGGATGATTCTGAAGTTTATTATGGAAGGATAGGTATCTGGATTGGGCCAGATCTGAAACATAAGGAACATTAAGGTCATTATGGATGATTTTATTTGTAACAAAGTAAGGAGCATTGAGGATTTTACGAAGGATTTTGGATTGTAAGGATTGGATGCGAGAGGAATTCGATGGTTTAGTGGAGCCCCATAGCTCAACTCCGTAAGACCAAATAGGCCTTATTATAGTCAAGTATATGAGTCTTTTGTAATTAATTGGAAGTTTAGAGCGTTTGTCTAGTAAGTGCTGAAGTAATCGGAAACGTCGAGCGGTTTCTTGTCGTTTCAGTCTAGTATGAGGATTCCAAGTTAGTCGTTTGTCCAGGTGGAGTCCTAGGTATCGGATTTGCTCAACAGGGATAAGTGGAGTATTGTTAAAGGACACTGTAGGACAGGAAGTTATTGGTTTACAACGAGGGGTAAAGGTAATTTGGTGAGATTTATTGGAGTTTATTTTAATTCTCCAGGCATAGAAACTGAAAAACAAAACAATCAATTAGTCAATCTTTTTCAAATACATTTTTTTTATTTCAAATTAATAATCATTTTGTGAAAAGTTTATTATACGAAATATGTTTTACAAAAGCCTCTCTAAATGTTTGTGTGTGTGTGCATTACTTTAATATTTATAATTCTAAGTCTTGTATATATATATTAAATATTATTGATCTCAGTTTGTAATATTTAAAATGCAAAAGTACTAACAACTATCTAGTACCTTTTCATTCAAACTTACAAAGACAATTAAGATAAGCATAGCACATTATTCATGATAAATATAAATGGAATAAACAACAATTGCGATAATTTCGAACTAAATCGGTACAAACTAAATCAACATCTTATTTCTGCATTGCGTTGGAACTTATTGTGTTACTTTTATAGATGAATACGAAAAAAAAACTTTTGTTTGTCTAAACATTAAAAATCTGATAAACGAAAGTTATAATTATTGTGAACTGTATCTGTAAAAAGCTGAGAATAGACTGACATAGTTCAATTTTTCAAGTTGCCTAGCCACATGTAACTCGGAATTGAAATAATTTAATTTACAATCTATTCTGGACATGAATTAACTTATTTAGTTTCTAGCGCTTCTATTCTATTTTCAATTTTTCTATTCAATTCTATTCTATTAATTTATTAAACAGGCAGTATTACTTATTTTTAAATGTGTGTAAGAACCTCCTTATTATATTATATTATTCCTTCGTCACACGTTCGTCTCACATAGCCACATGTTAATCTCCTTTCTACCTTCACCTCTAGGAAATTTTGTTTTATTTTCAGTCTCTCCCTGATAGCTTACCCTTTCGATCTTCTATATCCTAGCTGCTCTCCTCCATCCATTTCATCCATCCAAGAAAAATCCATTTCAACTGAAAGAAATTATTTTCCCTGTGTCATATTATATTCTGCGAATCATATAGCATTAAGTTTCCTAACAAAGCTTTGTATATTAGTTTTTTTGTTAAATTAAAATATTACTGATCCAGTTTAAACAGTTGAGCATTTCCAGTGTTTTTTTTTTTTTTACCACTTGTGATTCTTTTTTTGGATTTATTCCTCTGTTCTACCTCTAGGTATTTTGCTCTTAACTCGACGCCCATTTTGTCACATGTCTCCACCAATCCTTACCTACCCACGTGAAAATAAATAAATCAATAAAAATAAAATCACACACACACATATCATTTTGTGAGATTTGTTCATTAAGACTAATGGAGACCTTAAAACATGTTTTTCTATAGATATATCGGATTCAAAATTTTTCGTGATTGCAATATTTCTTCTACATATTTCATATATAGGTGAGTGAAATATTAATTAATTGATATTGTTATTTTTCATAGTTTAATAATGATATTTAAGTTTTTTTGAGGTATGACCATCATTAGTACCGACTCCGTTTCCATCACTGGAACTATATGATTTTGGTGTGTCCGTTACTAGTGCAAAATTAGTTATTTTAAACTGGATATTTTTACTATGTTGAGGTATGGAACTGTTTTCATCATGGCATAGACCACTCCTCGTTCGAGGTTTTTCTCAATTTTAATACCTTTGAAAGAGAGAAGAAAGCTTTGTTTGCGCTTGTTATATGCTAGTCTGTTTTCGAACGCGAGGTATACATTTAGAATATTGAGGAACCGAGGTATTTGAATTTTTCAACTCTCGGGCCCCATTTTCTTTCTATGCAGATCATGTTATTGGGGTAAAATTTTCTGCTTATTATCATAAGGGGTGTTTCAAGGTTAAATGGCCAGACTAGAAAAATAAACTCAGGACCTCAAAACTAGAAAACATTTTCTCTGAGGTTATGTCCGCAAACGCTTTGTTTAGGAGATATTCATACCTAAATATTTTCGTTGTTATTAATTATTTATATAACATGAAATAAATGAAATCTATTTATTACTAAAAACTACTTTATTCATTAAATTTAAACAATAACATTCATATTAAATGTTGTTCAAAGAGAAAGCATTCCACAAACGCTTTGTTTACGGGAAGGATTGGCCGTGCAGGACCAGTGGCTTGACCTGCACGCTCTCCAGACCCAACAAAACAAAAAGTCTATGCAAGTCCGGTCAATGATCTTAATTCCTTAAGAAGAAGGATAATTGAATCTTGTGAAACAATAACACATATCCAGTGCCGTTCTGCCACTGCTGCTGTTGAAGAAAAATGCCGAGCCTGTCTTAATGCTCAAGGAAATCACTTTGAACAGCATTTAATATGAATTTAATGTTTACGATTTATTAATAAAGTACTTGGAACAAATAAATAAGTTTTATTTACTTGATATAACGTAAATAATTCATAACAATGAAAATCATTAGGTGTGAATATCTCCTAAACAAAGCGTTTGAGGACATACCTTTTCAGTTTGGCCACAACCCTGAAACACCCGTTTTTTTTTTTTTTTTTTGTTTTTTTGTCTTAGTTTACTTGTAGGCCGATTGATAGAAAAATAACAATCCGAATCGGCTCAATACCTGAAGTGGAGTTTGAAATGGGAAGGGTTGGACTTCGTTTGGGACAGGATTAATTTGTTACTGGAATAATTTAAAATGAGAAAAGTTGAATTCGATTAGAAAATGCTATTGAAATGTTATTCGATATAGAGAGATTTTCGAATTTTGTAATTTCAATAGGTTTGACACTATTGATAAAAAAGTTAACAACCCTTCAACCCTTTTGTTCTTACTCATAAAGGACACTTGACATCCCTTATCTTGAGACAGAAATTCATTAGACAATTTTAAAATCTTTAATTAAGTGAGGTTTATATAGAAGTTTATTGCTTTAAATTTCTGGATATGACATAAAGCTTTATCCTTGAGGGGTGACTACGGCAAGTCCCTGAGTTTTCAACTTAGTATGACGACTGCGGAATAATTTACTGCCGCCTGTCTAATAAGTTTATAACTGGAACTTTAGAAACTTTTTTTTTTTTTTATTCAGAATATAGAGGATGAATCCAAGCCCGGAGGAACAATAAATCATTGTACTAGAGTAATTTCCACAGAATTATGGTGAGGATTTTTTTTTTTTTTTTTTATTTAACAAGCTTTTATAAATCTTCAAGTTGGATCGAACTTAACTTGAGTGGGAGCTCTTTCTGAGTACACTGAAAATTATCTTCGTTCAATCTGATAAAATTCATGAACGACCGGGCAGAAAGTTATGTTTAAGAAAGTCTACTGAACAAATCGACGGGACAAAAATTATACACAAATTAACCAGAATTTCAGCATAGGAATATAGCAATAATCTCTATTTGTTTTGAAGGAAGAATTGCATACAAATAATGTCTATCTCAGTATAACAAACAAGCATGTGTGTTTAAGTAGTTATTTTGATTAGTTTAGTTCCTTTTAGTTTATATACATTTATTTTTAATTTTATTATTTTTCTGTTTATTTATTTTTATTTATTGTACATTGAGTGTGAATGAGCTACTCTTCTTTACTATTACTTTTGTCCTTATATGTGACAAATTGTAATATTTCTTAACAAACAATTGATTGACAAAACGAAAAATATTACACTTATGCTATTACATTTTTTTTTCTTTTTATACTACAATATAAATATTACAACAATCTTAAGGATAACTTAAAAATCATTCATGGCCAAAAATCAAATGGTTAAATTAATACCAATTATTGACATTAATACAAAATAAATATTTGTCAAGAAAACTTATAAATAATAACAATAAGTTACTTTTTATTAAAACACTTTATTCAGAAATATTACAATTTGTCACAGTTAAGGACACTTATAATAGAGTTCAGAGATTGCATTCATACCGTATATACAAAAATATAAATAAATAAAGTAATAACAAAAGAATAAGAAGAAAGAACAAAAGAGTAAAGAAAAAAAATATATATACATATACATAAGTAAATAAAAATAGAAATAAAAGTAAAACAAACACCTTATATAAAACATACATTATTTACAATTTGCCAGGTGATCTCCGAACCAA